GCTGAGTCTCAGCTGTAACTAGCAAAGTTTTGCCTGAGGAAATGAATGGCACTTCAGCGGTAAACACAAGAATGCGCTTGGAAATGAGTGCCCTGAGAGCAGCTTTCCAAGGAAGTGTCGTGAGAAGAGAGCACTGTTTTACAGTTCCCCTGCTTTACGGCTTCCCAACTTTATGACTTTAATGAGCGTTAAGATAGTGTCACAAAAGCACAATGACAGAAATAGAGCACTGGGTACAAGATGAGGTGAGGAGGGCAGGGCACAGCAGGACAAAGACCTGCCAGGTGGAGCCTTGGAAGGTGTCATCACAGAGCCCCTGACGCGATGCTGTCCGCACCCTGAAGCCAGGGAGTTAGCTTGCACAGCCATTTTGCCCATCAGTCTCACATTGGTTCTGTATTTAGCGTGTTTGTATTCATTCATTCTTTGTGTTTGAATGTGTTTGAAATATTTCACAGTGGTACCTTTTCAACCCTAAACATCACATAAGAGTTTTGTTTGTTTGCTTGGGGTTTTTTGTTTTTCTTGAGCTGCAGTTTGGCTGTGCATTATGAGACTGCAACCTTCGCCTGTAGCAAAGGAAGGCTGTGCCCTTCCCAGGGAAAAAGAGGCTCATCCTGTTTGGAACCTCCTCCATCTGGGGTATTAGATCCTATGAATCATTCTCTGGGGACTTCTGGAAATCTAGTTTGTCCCAGACCACAAGCAGCATGACAGGGTGCGGGTTTATTTCAGTGTTTTGGCATTTGCAGCTCCAACTGAAATTGCAAAGACATAGAAGGCAGATCAAGGAAAATAAAGTATTTTTTTAAAAAAGAAAACAAATGGTTCATATCTTTTAAACATCTCATTCTGTCTGTGGTTCTGCCTATACATTTAGAATATTCTTTCCTCACTTCCCTCTTTCTTCTCTCCTTCCTCCTTCCTCTCTCAGGAAGGTCTAATTCCCCTTATGTCTGGCACTGTGCAAACCATAAAGAGATAGAAAGGTAAACAAAACAGGAATTTATCATTGCCTAAAGGCTTCCTCTAGGGAAAGTCACCATCATTAAACAAAATTAAATATAATTACAAATTGGTTAAGCCTCTGAAGGCAGAGGACAGGGCATTTGATATGGAAACATGTTGGTAGAAAGAACAAATTTACATTTTGAAGCTAGAAATAATCTAAATGTTTCCAAATCTAAAGGACCCTTCCAAGTGTTTTATCTGACATACTAGCCCTTGTTCATTATTTCCCAGAGGAAATATTTAAAGTAACATGATACCACTTTCTCCTTCAATGTCCTCCCATACTCCCTATCAATCATAGGCTAAATTGTAATTTTCCATAATATAAAGAATTAAAGAATTTCTTTAAAAAGAATTGCATTCCCCATTAAAACTGCTTCTAGATACTTACCTTCTAGAGAAAGGTTACAGGCTACTTGTGACAAAAATAAATGATATGGAGTCTATTTGATGGAGCTATCAGCAGCCTTTAAAGCAATCTAGAATTGGAGCAAAGCTATAATATTCAGAGCAGGATTAGAGAAATGAATAACTATAGAAGACTTTCCTAGTCCATCTTCATTTGCCATAACAAAATTCTTAAAACTGCATACTTAATAAAGAAAATCTAGTTTAAGTTATTTACCGGTTGGATTATCTGGCTAGATTTTTTAATTTCCATTTTTAAAACTTAAAGTAGAAAATAATGGTTTACATTATGATATTTTCATACTTTCATTCGCATTTTTTTAACATCTTGAGCTCAAGTTTCATCCACTTTCCTGCAAATAACATGATTTTATCCTTCTTTGTGGCTGAGTAATACACCATTGTATATATAGTCATCTGTTGATGGGCAGCTATACTAATTAGCTAGCCTGAACTTAGCTATTGTGAACAGTGCTGCTGTAAACATGGGTATGTAAGTATCTTCATTCTATGCTGACTTTTGTCTCCAGGTATATGCCCAAGAGTGATTATGGCAGGGTTGTATGATAATTCTATTTAGTATTTTTTCTTCAATAAAATGGTTTGAACACAGGCCTTGAGCTTGCTAAGCAAGTGCTATACCACTTGAAAATGTCTCAACCTTTATTTGCTTCAGTTATCTTTCAGTTAGTGTCTAAAGTTTTTGCCAGGCTGACCACAGATCATGATAATCTTACCTGTGATCTACTGACCATAATAATCTTACCTGTAATCTTACCTATGATCTATTGTTTGCCTGGGATCAATAGGAACATGCCACCATGCCCACATTATTTGTTAAGAGGGGTCTTGTTTACTTTTTTGCCCAGACTGATTAACTTTAAAACCTCTAAAAACCAATCTCTAAAACTTTGTTCCTCACTTGGACTGCATGACATTGATTTCTGTCCATCCACTTGAAATATTAACTACCCACTGTGTGATCCATATCACAATTTTGAAAAACACTAAGAAGGTTACATGTGTAACCTGGCCTACTTCACCTGACCTACATTCAGCTTTTTGAGGAACCTCCAAATTGATTTCCACAATGGTTGAGCTAGTATTTATCTCCACCAACAGTTTTTAAGGTGTCCTTTTTCCTTATCATCACCATCTTTGTTGTTTGTGTTCTTGATCATGGCTATTCTAAGTGGGGTAAGATGGAATGTCAGTGTACTTTTGGATCACACAGACTTTTTGTGTATATGTCATAGTCCTGTGGTTTGAACTCTGGATCTGGGTGCTATCCTCAGGCTTTTTTTTTTTTTGGGTCCGGTCATGGGGCCTGAACTCTGGGTCTGGGCACTGTCCCTAAGCTCTTCAGCTCAGGCTAGCACTCTACCACTTGAGCCACAGCGCCACTTCCGGCTCTTTTCTTTTTTTGTTTATGTGGTGCTGAGGAATCGAACCCAGGGCCTCATGCATGCAAGGCAAGCACTCTACCACTGAGCCACTTTCCCAGCCCCTATCCCCAGGCTTTTATGCTCAACTCTGGTGCTGTACTGCATGAGCTACAGGTTCACTTCTGGGGTTTGGGTGATAAATTTGGGAAAAGAGTCTCATGAACTTTCTTGCCTGAGCTGGCTTTGAACCTGATCCTCAGATCTCAGCCTACAGAGTAGCTGGGATTACATGGCACCTGGCTGTCACACAGACATTCAAATAAAGTGCATTTATTCCTTATTTTGAGCTTTAAGTTTTCAGAGCAATTTTGAGATTAGTTGTCAGAAATATCTATACGATTATTTTTTAAAAGTAGTTCCAAAGGTGACAAAGGTGGTAAATTCAGACATTATGATTAACAAACTTTATTTTTTTTAAAAAAAATCCAAATTACATTCAATGGAGAGCAGGATTTAGGGGGGAAATAGTAGAGAAAAAGCAGAGAAGGGAAGGAGAGACCAAGTGCTGGGAAGGAAAAAAAAAGTGGAGGTAGAGAAAAACAGAGATCCTAAGGGAAAATGACATCCTAAAGAAGAAAAGAGGGAAGGAATTTAAAACTCTGTCATTCACTTGGACTATATGATATTAATTTCCATCAATCCATTTTGAAGTGTTATTTTTTTCTAACTACCCAGTATGAGACCCATAACCCTTATTCTGAAAAATAGTTGTTCAAGATAGGCAAGTATGTTAGACATCTATCTGAAACTAGCCTCTGGCTTACTGAGCAGTGTCTTTCATAATTCATAGGCACAGATCAGAAGAGTTAAAAGTAGCCATCCTAACCTAGATATTTAAAGGCCAAAACCCACAGATTATAATATTTCCAGAGGTTTTATGTCCTTTATCAACCTTTTTCCAAACAGAATGGCTATCTAGCTACATGATCTGCCCCCAGATGACTAAATAAATTGTTATCTTAGCTTTATAGACATTGAATTGTATCTAAAGTCAGATTGATCATCTGGACTGTAATGCAGAAAGATAGAAAAGCACTTGCATTAGCTGGATTCAATCTAGTAACAGAGCAAAGCACCAAGCTGGCATGCCTCACAAATGTGTAGAATTGAGGTGACTGACAGCATAGTATTTCAATTAAGCTGCACACAAATCCCTGTCCTTAGAATTGGGGCAGCTTACCTGGAAATCCATGTTGCCTTTTATTCTGAGAAAGGCATTGTTGCAAGCATGGCAGTCTCCAAAAGAGCTCTCCATGAGGCTGGTGTATTTTTTTTTTTAGTGAGCCCTGTCTACATCTGGACATGAACTTTCAAACATGGTGGATGTACCAAGCATACAGGGACCCAGCAATGAAAATAATTTATAAAGTCTGGAAGATGTTCAAAGGCAACGCTAACAAAATGGGGCTGATAAAGGATAAACTATGAGAAGTGGCTGAGAGTAATTTCAATATTTTTTTAATTTATGAAAGACTAAAGATGACCAACCACAAGAGTACACTTCTTCTTTTGAGAAAAAGGTAGTAGACAGATAGAAGCTGCAGGGAGAATATCAACTTACATTATGAGGAAACTTACATCAGGTCTCAATAAAAACAATGCCAACCTTGTGCTATGAACCCCTGCCCTTATTTTGAGGGAAGAGTCCTATCTATTAGGCCTGAACTACAATTATTCCTGCATGGAAACAGAAAGCAAACCAGCTAGTTTTTCTCAAACATGGAATCTCCAGGTTCACAGCGAACTTTGGCGGAACCACTTTATAAATAAGAACACCACTTTCAGTGATTGTCCAAGGTTATTCAGGTATTAAGCAGTCAGGTTGGAAAATTGCCCAAGTTCTGTCAACCTCCAGTCCATGGCTGTTTCTCTGTACATAAAAGTACCTCCTTAGTCTATTAACACCAAATACACCAAATCTCATCCCGTATCTAGACCCTTGGGGCAGCATTCTCACAGCTCTAGACTTTCTCCATACATCTGGCACTTCCGAGTGAGTTCAGAAACCCAAAGAAACTGAAAGGTTTTGATGAAGCCAAGCTAACCTGTCATAAGCTACCAGCTCTGGGTGACTTGACTTTCAGGGCCGCCATTGACTTTCCCTTTTGACCAATATCTTCCTGCTTGCATTTGTAGGTTTCACAGCCGCAGCCTCTCTTGTGTCCTTGGCTTGGGCCCTGGCCTCCTACCAGAAAGCCCTGCGAGACTCTCGAGATGACAAGAAACCCATCAGCTACATGGCCGTCATTATCCAGTTCTGCTGGCACTTCTTTACAATTGCCGCCAGGGTCATCACATTCGCGCTTTTTGCGTCAGTTTTCCAGCTGTACTTTGGGATCTTCATCGTCCTCCACTGGTGCATCATGACTTTCTGGATCGTCCACTGTGAGACAGAATTCTGTATCACCAAATGGGAAGAGATTGTTTTTGACATGGTGGTAGGAATCATCTATATCTTCAGTTGGTTCAACGTCAAGGAAGGCAGGACACGCTGCAGGCTGTTCATTTACTATTTTGTGATCCTTTTGGAAAACACAGCCTTGAGCGCGCTTTGGTACCTCTACAAGGCTCCCCAGATTGCAGACGCATTTGCCATCCCAGCGCTGTGCGTGGTGTTCAGCAGCTTTTTAACCGGCGTGGTTTTTATGCTGATGTACTATGCCTTCTTCCACCCCAACGGGCCCAGATTCGGGCAGTCGCCGAGTTGTGCTTGTGAGGACCCCGTCGCTGCCTTCTCCCTGCCTCCAGAGGTGGCCACAAGCACCCTCCGATCCATCTCCAACAACCGCAGTGTGGTCAGTGACCGCGATCAGAAATTCTCAGAGCGGGATGGGTGTGTACCGGTCTTTCAGGTGAGGCCCACGGCTCCATCCACCCCATCATCTCGCCCACCACGGATTGAAGAATCGGTCATTAAAATTGACTTGTTCAGGAATCGGTACCCAGCGTGGGAGAGACACGTGTTGGACCGAAGCCTGCGAAAGGCCATTTTAGCCTTTGAATGCTCCCCGTCTCCCCCAAGGCTACAGTATAAAGATGACGCCCTCATTCAGGAGCGGTTGGAATATGAAACTACTTTATAAGACAAAGTGACTTGCAGGAGCCACAAGGTCCAGATGAAGGGGTGACAGCAAGGCTGTGGCAATAATGACACTTCATCCTAGAGTAAGGCAATGAGCTGTAATGTCCTTAGTTTGACCATTATCATGATTATGGTTTGCTCTTCGGTCAGCTGACTGCCTGCTGCTGGTCTCCTTTCAAACCAGCAGCCCCAAGAGTCTCTAACTCCACCTGAAGGGGCCATGCAGTTTCATTTGACTGTCGCTACCAAACTCCCCCTTCATAGTCTTGGAGTGCATCTATCAGAGGGTACTATTATTATGGAAAATTTTGTTTCTAAACAATAGGGTGTTTTGATGGAGTTAACTGATTTTTGCATAAATAGATCAGTCATATACATTCACTCACACACACACACAAACACACACACACATACACACACTAGTCCTCTGTCAAATAGCTTAGGTGATTTTCCTTGATGCAAAGCACTGATTCCCACGGGAATAGAAGAACAAAGAAGAGAGAAAAAGAGAAAGATAATACATCCCTCAAGACTCCAGGAGAAGTACTGCCTAGAAAGGAATTCAGAAACCATTTTCTCATTTGGAAACTAATATTGTGTGTGAAAAAGCTATCCGGTGGACAGCAGACTCAAGTGTGTTTACACATGCATTTGCATTAATGGAACGGTTCATTTTCTATACATTTCAGGATTTGTTGTTAAGTTTTCAGTTGAGAACATCCTTTATGACAGAAATCCTATGCAGCACATGTATGGCTTTCAACAAGACCAAGGAGCTCAATAACTTTGTGATGTAAATTCAATGGTAACCACAATTCAGTATTCAATTGCAAAATTTTAATACATGCACAAAGAGGATGAGTTGGGGAGGGGAAAAAATGAAAGTCTGACTCCCACCTTGGAATGTGAGGACAGAACCACAGGGAAGGGCTATAACCTGATCTGTGTCTCGATGTAGAATACCAGGCTTCCTCTGTGTGTATGTGTAGTCAGGTGTGATTCCAGAAGATGCCATGCCATGTCTTTCTAGTGCCAAATTCCACCCAAACACAAAACTGTCTTGGAAGCCCCAACAATGGAGATTCAATGGTGGGAGCACCCCAAAAAATCAGACAAGAGAAAGAACAGTCACGTTCTCCACTGTGTATAGATCTACCCACTCCCCAATCCAAGGTCAAAGTGATGTATCTTCTAGAGGCTTTGGGACACATTTTAGTAAGTATGGAAATATTAATATGGGAATACTTATGAATATGCTATGAGGAAACCTTCTGAACTGATTGAGGGCTTATCACTCTCTCAGCTCAGATTTGTATTTGAATCATCTGTAAAGTTATACTCTTACAACAAGCTTCTGGGTTTTAAATACCTCCGTACAGCAAGTAAACGTCCCCTGCTTTCTGTTCTCAGTGTCCTTGGTCATGGTGCTTTTTGTTGCATTAAAAGTGCCGGTCAAACTTTGATAGTATTTTTTTATAGTTGGTGCAGAGTGGAATAACTCATGGATTATTTCAATATTTTTGTAATAAAAATATATAGGGTATACATATAGGCTTCATCACTTTTTTTATAGACCTGAAATCATTTCAAATACTTTAAGCATCATAATCCCTTGAGATGTCAGAAACTGGTCCACCAAATCATCAGCTTGCCTCAGCAGATGGAAAACACTTGTCTCTTGCAAGATCACCTACTTTGCAAGTTGGTGCCCCCAGGAACCTGGCCAGGGGTGCTATCAGAATATCATGTGAAGAGAGAAGCTGCCTAAGTAGCAAGGGCTTGTCAAGACTGGCCATTGTTTCCCAGGAAAACAAAGGTATATATGATTATTCTCATTCATCCATTATAACGACCACAGTGGAAGCCGTCTTAAACTTCCTTCCCTGGTTTTATATGAACACAAGTCATATTAAAGATTAGTCAAATCACCTTTAAAAAAAACAGAAAAAAGAAAGAAAACAGTTTCACTTAATTATTCACTTATTTGGACTGTCTCAGTTATGATACTCAAGTTCTAGAGTCACCATCTGTACAATGGATATTTCATCCAGAGACCACTGTCCCCAAGATGGCAGCCACAGGAAATGACAGAGGGCTCTTCCTAGGACTTCTTTTGGTACAAAGCCCCAAAATGATATTTAAAAAAAAAGTCAGTTTTTAACAGTAGATATATTTCTTTGTACACCATGACTTTATCCTCCAAACAAGATTTCCACTAAACTATCCTAATCTTTTGTGGGGATGTGGAGACATTTCCTAACCACTGGCAAAGCTCCAAGAAGTCATCGTTCTGTCAGCGTGTGGGGAAAACATACCAGCCCCACTGTAGAAGTCGTCCGTGTGGCAATTTCTTCACATTTGTGCAGAACCATGAGTTATTAGCTTCAGTAGTTCCAAGACAACTTTTAACTGATGATCTTTTGGAAGTTGAGTTTCTCAGTTGAACTGGACCTCTGACTCCATGAGTAGATAAAAAAATCACAGTATAATAATGTCAAGGAAAATAACCAAGACCAGGCCCGGCCCCTTCACTCTTCAGTCATGTAAGTGTGAAGTTACTTCTCAACTTGATCCCACAGGTAACAATGTTCAGAGTTGAAACTGTTACAATAGAAATAAAAGATGATGGTTTGGTCTCTGTCTCAGATCGGCAGACATGAAGGTGTAAGAGCTTTGCATTTTTCAGTCATTTCCCAAATATTATGAAAATTGTTACCCAATACACTTGAAGAATAAGTTTTAGTTAGTGATGAGTTCTTGGTTAAGGAAGTGATATATCCAGCATGCCATAAATTTCAGCTTTCAAAATGCTGAAGCCACAGGATAGAGAAAAAGTGGCTGCAGAGAATAACCGTGATTGAATCATCTCATATTGCTTTCAGATTTCACAAAACACACAGTGTATCAGACTGTTGTGTAAGGACACAGGCCCAGGTAGGAAAGTATTAGGATTTAAAGCAACATCCCCAATGGACAAAGGAACAAAATTTGACTCCTAAAATTTCTGATGTTGAAGCCTTCACAGGGAGTAACTAGAGAATAATTCAGAAGAGATGAGTGACAAATGGGAACTCATTTTCCCCAGCCTGGGCTTCCTGTGGCCAACTCCAATTTGATGCCCTTAAAAGAGGGTCTGCTCTTAGCATTCATTCTTCACATAGGAACATGATGTTTTCTAAAAGAAAAATAATTGAATCATTTTACTTTCAAATTTTAATTTCTAAATGCATTCGTATTTAAAGAATATGTTTATGAACACACTTAAATTGAACACATATTTATATTGAACACACATTTAAAGTTCTACCATGCTAAGTGTTTAAATGTTCAAGTGGAAGAAAATGGTTTTTTTTTCCCACATATGTCAAAGCATGGTCCTTTAAAGTGACTGATACCCTTTAACTACTCTTTGCACATTTTCATCATCATACTTAACTATTGTCTAACCCAGTATCAATGACTTTGCACACACTCCATTACTATTCATTCACAATGAATGCTGCTAACCCAAAAATTGTAATAAATTCTCTTACCAACAGGTCAAGATAATGTAACTCAAGTGTTAGCAAAAGATAAAAATGCAAAGATAATTTGAAGAAAAAAGTAAATGAAGAATTTATGGTTATTTTCCAAAAGTCCCATTAACTTCACGCGAGAAATAAAGTCATAGTACTGTATGGTTATGAATGAATGGGAGCTGAGTGCTAGTGGTTTTCACTTATAATCCTCGTTACTCAAAAGACAGATCTGAGCATCAAAGCCAGCCCAGGCAGAAAAATCCTAGGAGAGTCTTATATCCAATAAATCACCAAAAAGCCAGAAATGGAGTTGTGGCTCAAGTAGTAGAGCACTAGCCTTTAGCAAAAAGTCTCAGAGACGGTTCCTGGCCCTGAATTCAAGTCTTAAGATTGGTGTGCAGGCATGTGCATGCACACACGTGCACACACACACACACACAAATGGGACTAGCTTAAATTAAAATGACTGTTGGGTTTATGTGTGTGTGTGTTTTGTTTTATATCACACACTATTAATAAATAACTAAAGAAGAAAGTATATACCACACTCTAATACATTTAAAGTGGTATTTTTGGCACATAACTTCTCAATGAGAAGCTTTGCCCTACTCAGATTTCAAAAAGAACCATGCTTACAAACTATGCCTTTAAGATTTCAACATAAGATATACCTATATATAATTACATTCCTCTTAACTTGAATGATCATGAAGGCCATTCCTTAAGGATCCCAAAACTCTTTTAAGAAGCAAAATAGTATAGTTTTGTATCAGTACAAAGTTTGTATCCCTACAAAGTTTGTATCCATGAGCCAGTTAGATTGAGCAAAGAAAATCTCCAAGTCTGTGCAAGGTTACACATTTACCAAACTATGTACCAAACTATGTCATTGAGTGGAAGGAAGTTCTGACACAATGTTTAGACAAGAATTCAGAGACTTTTTTCTAATGAAACATTTTCTAGACTAAATATATGCTCCCTCACATTCTCCACTCATCTTTGCCATCAGCCATGACTCTTTCTATATAAAGCTCAGAGGAGATGCCTGCATTTTTCTATTTCTAAGGAGAATTCCTTAAAACCTTTTTAAAAATAGCTCCGACTGTCTCTCAGAATCTAGCTCAGAGGCTGGGTGAGGTAGGGGATGACAGCACAACAGGGCGGAGGTGATCCTTGGTCCCATTTCACTGATGGATACAGATGACTTCACATTTCTTTATACAAAGCGATCCAGAGCTTGGCTTCCTCCAGCTTCTCCCATCTGACTGATGTTCAAGTATTACCATTGGCTAAGGATGAGCCAGTTCCCTCTATGTCTTTTCTGAGGCGCTTACCCTGACCTGTATCCAACTGTGAAATGATCTCAACTCTTCGGTGCTATCTCCACTTCTTGTTTGGACACCTGTGGGGCAGTGCCAGGCTACCACAGGGCTTTCTGTCAACACATGTCCTGTCTAGTAGCTTTCTTGAAAATGGGCTCAAG